CAGTTTCCATATGAAGGTTGATCCACAACAATGTTCAAATGTATCGAGTTCATCAATTCAATACATTTACATTTTTCCCTTAAAGCCATCTCCAAAGAAGACGATAAATCGATATTTAGACAAAAATTTTGATATGATTGATTTTCAATAAACACTGCAAAATTTTTGATGTAGGTGAACAGTATTACACCACATTTGGCGTAGTAGTATTATCAACTGCAAAAATTTTAATTTATTTTATTTGCAGGTGATGCTTCCCGTGGGGTTGTGCGATTAAACGCACCTTAAGTACACAAATCACCACGCACTTGAAGTACACAAACAAAGCACCTTAAGGACACAAATTATTCACTTTAAGTACATAAACCACGCATTTTAAGCATAGAACAAAGCACATTAAGCACAAAACTCACACACCTAAGATTTTAAAATGACTCACATTAAGTACAAACTTACGTACATTAAGCACAGAGCTCACGCACCTTAAGCGACGCACATTAAGCGCAAAACTCACGCACATTATGCATAAAACTCTCACACCTTAAGTTTCAACAACTACTGACATTAATCACAAACCCCACGCACCTTAAGCACAAACCACACGCTTCTTAAGCACAAACCTCACGCACCTTAAGTTTGAACAACTATTGACATTAACCAGTAACCTCACGCACCTTAAGCACAAAGCACATGTACCTTAAGCACAAATCACACGCATATTAACCACAAAATTCACGCACATTAAGTCCAAAGCTAAACACCTTAAATTTGATGCAAAAATTATCAAAATGTAACCGCGTTTTTAATTTAATTTTGATAATCTAAACTATGATTTAAACAAAATCAATGGTTCTCCTTTCACCGCACAATCGCACTTTTCAAAAAAAAAAAGATAATTAAATTACAACTCCATCTCACTTTTCTTGCGTTCTATAAATTGGTATAAGATTCTGCATTTCTGCAGTCCATGAATTGTCGTTCAATTAGTCCAAACCACCAAAAGATGGCTCTGAATTCACGCTCCGTCTCCTTGACACTCTTCTCTCTCGCGGTGGCCACCGCCCTCTTCTCCAACGCCGTCGCCGCACTGGGTGGCCAGAAAGGTCCACTCATAGGCGGCTGGAGCTCCATTAAGGACCCGAAAGCTCCCTATGTGGTGGAGTTCGCAAAGTTCGCCATAGACGCCCACAACAAAGAGGCTAAAACCAATCTGAAATTCAAAAGCGTGATCGAGGGGCAGAGTCAAGTCGTCGCCGGCATGAATTACAAGCTCGTGATCGCCGCCGAGGACGGCAGCGCCGGGAATAAGTACGAAGCCGTCGTTTATGATAGACCTTGGGACAAATTCAGAGAGCTCACCTCCTTCAAACAACTATGAGTATTCATCGCGACTCTTATCAATAACGGAACATTTAAATGTGAATAAGTTTCATGTCTGAAATGTGATGTTTTTTGTCCGGTATCGTCTCCGATTGAAAAGGGCAAAAATATTGTATGTTTATGAAAGAAATATAAATCTAATTTTCAGTTTCTTTGATTGCCTTTCAATGTTTTACCATGTTTGATTTGCGGAACTCCGGTCGCCGGAAAATTGCGATGAATGCAGTATCAAAATGAAGACGCATAAACAGTCAGAGCCAAGTTGATTGTATTGAACTATTGATGGATACATCGTTGTAATCCTTTGCTAATTATAGCTATAATTTTAGATTTATCTAGTGACCTCTCCTAAATATCTACTCTTTTCAAAAAATTTAAGCCAGTCAAAGTCAAGTTAGGTCCACATCTTTAATTTCTTAATGTTTCTACGCTAAGGACCATTTATTCATTTGCATGGTATGATAGAGAAAGCATTAAATGAATCCAGTAGTGGTTTTGACTTTTGAGTTATACAAGACCAATTATATATCTCCGTCTCTCACACTTAGTTGATTCCAATTTTATTCGATTAAATCTTAAACTTATACAAAGACCTTGTGAATGATATCAAGTTAAACTCCCATAAGACTTTACCCCTAAAACTATTACAGAGGTAAATCGCGAAAACAAGAATTGAGTTTGGCAGTTCCTAAGCCTGACCTAAATCCATGTTTGGATTGTTTTGTACGTCAAATTATACTGTGGACCGGCGTTCATATTGCATTTGATCCAGGCATTAAATATAAACTGCAGTTTTATTTCAACATAATTATAGTATCATTTCGATATAATTACAGTTTTACTGGACAATATACACTTAAATATGTGAAATTTTTATTCAATTTCATTTTGTATACACTGCAGTTTTATTTGATAATATAATAAATATAATACGTGAGACAGTGTCAGTTTAAATACACTATAGTATCTGTCGTTTTAGATCATGGTCCACAAAATTTTATGGACCACGGTCCACCAATCGTTATATCCTACACCACGGCGCACATAGCATTGTGCGCCGCGCGCCTCCCAAAACGACGTCGCTTTGGGGTAGTGTTGGGAGGCGCAGTAGGAAGTTGCTGAGATTATGTGTATTTGTTCACAACGTTATGTGTATTTGTTCACAACGTTATGTGTATTGGTTCATACAGTTATGTGTATTTTTTATACAATTATGTACATTCTTTTTATACAATTATGTACATCCGAATCAGAAAATTTGTGTGTATTATGTTAAGAGTTGATGTGTATTATGTTAAAAGTTTATGTTTATTATGTATTATGTTAGATTATGTGTATTATCTTTTAAAAAGAGTATGTATATTTTGTTATATAATTATGTACATTCATATATAACATTATGTGTATTCTAGTATAACATTATGTACATTCTTGAACAACGGTTTTTTTTTTTAAAGAAAGACTACTGCCATTTACTGGGACGGGAAATTTCAAAAAAAAAATAATAATTAAAACGACGCCGTTTTGCATCTGGGCGCATAGTGCAACGCGCGCCGTGGTGTAGGATATAAATTGCCCACGGTCCACAATATAATTACTGTTTTTGTACTAAGTTGGTCCTCATCCGACTATTTGACGAAGGCCATGAATCAGTATGGGCCCATGGCCCTAATTGGCTTATTGGCTTGAACATAGGACCGAAGTAGGGTCAGTCAAAGCCTGACTCCCTCCCATCCTCAGGTCCTCGGAGCGTTATGCTGTGCATCCGTATATACCATGCATGGTGCATACAGATGCAAAAACAACGTCGTTTTGGTGTCTAACTTAAAAAATAACACATCCATAATTTCACTACACATCCATAATTTCATAACTATACATCCAGAATTGCATAACTACACTTCCAGAATTGCATAACTATAATTCAAGAATTGCATAACTATAATTCCAGAATTGCATAACTACACTTCCAGAATTGCATAACTACACTTCTAGAATTTTATAACTAAAAAATCCAAAATGAATGAACTAAAAATGAATAACTTAATGTTGTTGCTGAGAATCGAAATTGATTTTTTTTTTTAAAAGTAGGACACGCGTTTTATGCAAAACGACGTCGCTTTTGCATCCGTATGCACCATGCAGGGTGCATACGGATGCACACCATAATTTGCCCAGGTCCTCAATACCTAATAATTAATACATTGAGTTCATCATTATTTATTAGTGCAATGTGAAAAATTAAGGTGTCGTTTACCAACTTGAAAAAATAAAATATTTTCTAAAGAAATGAAAAATTAAGAAGTGAAAAAATAAAAATAGAAGAAGTTGTTTACTAAAATCATTTTTCCAATTGCCTATCTCCTCTTCTTTTTGCAACTTCATGTACAATTTTGGAGAAAGAAACACATTCTCCAAATGAGAGATGTACACGCGTGAATAGTGCTTAAGCTGAGGTCTTAGAATCGAATCCTGCGCACAGCATGTTTGTTGTGTAAAAGCTAGCTTCTTCTTCTTCTCCACTGATTAACCAAACTTTTTAAAGCTAAAATTTAAAATTCTAAAAATAATACTTAAAATAATAAATCTAATTAAAATAAAATACATATCATAATAAATTCATAACAAAATATACAAAAACATTAATTAGAAACTCCAAACATCCATAACTTTAAATTAGTATTTATATATATATATATATATATATATATATATATATATATATATATATATATATATATATATATTAAAAACTTCGGTTATTCGGTTAACCGACATTTCGAACCGAATTAACCGTTAACCGAAGTTTTAAAATTCCTTTAACCATTAACCGAACTGAAAAAGTTCGGTTCAAAAACGGTTAACCGAACTTTGTTTGTTCGGTCGGTTAACCGAAAATTATCCAAACTTTGCACACCCCTAATTATTATTATTATTATTATTATTATTATTATTATTATTATTATTATTATTATTATTATTATTATTATTATTATTATTATTATTATTATTATTATTATTATTATTTTATTATTATTATTATTATTATTATTATTATTATTATTATTATTATTATTATTATTATTATTATTATTATTATTATTATTATTATTATTATTATTATTATTATTATTATTATTATTATTATTATTATTATTATTATTTTTTTTTTTTTTTTTTTTTTTTTTTTTTTTTTTTTTTTTTTTTTTTTTTTTTTTTTTTTTTTTTTTTTATTATTATTATTATTATTATTATTATTATTATTATTTTATTATTATTATTATTATTATTATTATTATTATTATTATTATTATTATTATTATTATTATTATTATATTATTATTATTATTATTATTATTATTATTATTATTATTATTATTATTATTATTATTATTATTATTATTATTATTATTATTATTATTATTATTATTATTTTATTATTATTATTATTATTATTATTATTATTATTATTATTATTATTATTATTATTATTATTATTATTATTATTATTATTATTATTATTATTATTATTATTATTATTATTATTATTATTATTATTATTATTATTATTATTATTATTATTATTTATTATTATTATTATTATTATTATTATTATTATTATTATTATTATTATTATTATTATTATTATTATTATTTATTATTATTATTATTATTATTATTATTATTATTATTATTATTATTATTATTATTATTATTATTATTATTATTATTATTATTATTATTATTATTATTATTATTATTATTATTATTATTATTATTATTATTATTATTATTATTATTATTATTATTATTATTATTATTATTATTATTATTATTATTATTATTATTATTATTATTATTATTATTATTATTATTATTATTATTATTATTATTATTATTATTATTATTATTATTATTATTATTATTATTATTTTATTATTATTATTATTATTATTATTATTATTATTATTATTATTATTATTATTATTATTATTATTATTATTATTATTATAAATTTATTCTTCTTATTATTATTACTATTATTATTATTATTATTATTATTATTATTATTATCTTTTTTTTTTCTTTTTCGATTTTCCCCCTCATGTACACAAATTTGTTGTTATTGTTGTTGTTGTTGTTGTTGTTGTTATTATTATGAAAATTAGAAAAATGAAAAATTTGAGGAATAGAGAAATGGAAAACTGGAGAAATGAAGAAGGAAAACTGGAGAAATGGAGAAGGAAAATTTGAGAAATGAAAAACTGGAAATAGAAAACAGAGAAATGAAGTAAACGACCCCTAAAACTTTTAGTAATTGTATTTTCATTCTTCCCAAAAGGTTGAATTCCCAACCCTAAGGGCTCCCCACACCCCGGCCCGACAGAGCATCTAGGAGGATGATGGCAATAATTATGCTATGCAACCGTGTGCACCATGCATGGTGCACACGGTTGCAAAACGACGTTGTTTTGACTACAAACATGCGTCCCGTTTAAAAAAAAATTCAGTTTCGATTTCCCTCAACAACATTATGTTGTTCATTCATTCTGGATTTTTAGTTCATTCATTGTGGATATTTAGTTCATTCATTGTGGATATATAATTCAAATTATGCACACAAAATGCTATGCCGGGAATCGAACCTGAATTGTATTTTTTTAAAGTGGGACGTGCGTTTTTAGTCAAAACGACGTCGTTTTTGCAACTGTATGGTGCACACGGTTGCACAACATAATTTGCAGGATGATGGGATGTTAGATTAATTTGACATTTAAATATATAAATTTACAAATTAATTCTATAATTTCAATAGAATATTATTTTATAGTGTAGTAAAAATTTGAAAGTATATTAATGGTGGAACTTGGATTATGAATTATATTTCCGTTATGTTTTTGATATTATTTCAAGTTTCAAGCACATAATTTTAATGGTGGAACTTGGATTAATATTAAAACAATTCAGACCTTAATTTTCATGTTCACTCGATTCTATACAAATTTTTGGGCAATTATATCTTTTTTTTTTGATAAATTCTAGGCAATAATATATTTCAAATGTTATATAATCTAATTGTCTAATGGTCACCTTTCTAACCGCTATTCTTTACACACATATTTTATGTTATCATGATTAGACATTCATTGATATTATAAAACGTATGGATGTGTATTTATAAATATTTTAAAATTATATAAAAATATTATCTGTTTAATAATTTTTTAAGAGTTATATTTTTAAAATGTTTAAAATTTCTTTTTTTTTTTTTTTTTTAAAAAGGAAACTGAAAATTTGTAATAAAATTTATTAGAGGATACGGTTTTAATACAACAAAAATATTGGTCCTGTTGGTAAAATAGTTAGCATATCAGTCAATTTTAGCCTATTTGACCACTATTAGATGTTTGACTTGGTTAAAAAATTAATATAAGTATTTGGTTAATTAGTTTTTTACAACTTCAAAATGTAAAAATTCAAAAACCTACTCAAATCAACTTTTTCAATTAGCTTTTCAAGAAAATAAATTATACCAAACAATTATTAGTCAACAGTAAATTTACCAAATACTTTTCTACAATTAGCTAACGTTAGTTATCAGATCAAATAGTTATACACTCTAATTAACCCAATCAGCTAACAGCTAAAAACCATTTACCAGAACCATTGACTTTTATGAATTTTCCTTCTCGATATTAGCATACCAAATCATGCTAGTATTTTTTTTTATTTTTTATTTTTTATTTTTGGAAAAAAAATCATGTTCACTCAGTTCTATACAAATATTTAGGGAATAATATTTTTTTGATAAATTATAGGCAATAATATATTTCAAATGTTATATAATCTAATTATCTCATTGTCACCTCTCTAACCGCTATTCTTTACACACAAATGTTATGTTATTGTGATTAGACATTCATTGATATTATAAAACGTATGGATTTGTATTTTTAAATATTTTTAAATTATATAAAAATATTATCTGTTTAATAAATTTTTTAAGAGTTATATTTTAAAAATGTTTAAAATTTTTTTAAAAAATGAAAATTTGTAATGAAATTTATTGGAGGATACAAAACTATTGACTTATAAGAATTTTCCTTCTCGATATTAACTGACTAAATCATGCTTGTATTTTTATTTTTATTTTTGGAAAAAAATCTTGCTCATATTAACTCTCTAGATTTGCACAATATTTTACCATAAAAAAAAAAACAAAACATTCCATATAGGAATAGATAGAGAAATATTCACGTGACAGCACCGATTATAAAATCCTGAAGTCACACCCCATATTTCTCATCAAGTAGTTCAAACCACCAAAAGATGGCAATGAATTCTCGCTCTGTCTCCTTAACGCTCTTCTCCTTGGTGGTGGTCACCGCCGTCTTCTCCGCCGCACATGGTGCCCGGAAAGAACTAGTGCCCGGCGGCTGGAGCCCCATTAAGGACTTGAAGGATCCTGTGGTGGTGGAAATCGCAAACTTCGCCATAAACACCCACAACAAAGAGGCTAAAAGCAACCTGGTATTTAAGAGCGTGATCGGAGGAGAGTCTCAAATCATCGAAGGCTTGAATTACAAGCTTGATATCGAGGTGGAGGAAGGCAATTGTTTGAATAAGTACGAGGCTCTGGTTTGGGATAAACCTTCAGAGAAATTACTCACCTCCTTCAAAAAATTATGAGTGTGCTTTAATTCTTGTATGTTTATTAACGAAATATAAATCTAGTTTTTTGGACCTACATCTGTTACAAAACATGTGTTTCTTCAAGCATCTCTTGAAATGGCCAAAGCATGAGTACATTTAACATTAAGAAAATTTTCTAATCATAATTTAGAGACCTAATAAGTTAAAAGACCAATATCTAATTAATTTTGACTATCAAGATTTAATTATATATACCCAATTTTGTATTATTGTCTATGTTTCAATACTTAAGAACCAGTGCTCTTGAGCATGGTGAAAATTAGGAAAAGTTTTAACTAAGTTGATTCTAGTTATTATATTATTATATGTCCAGACACACTATCCTAAAAGTTTTTAATTTTTCTTATCAAACAACAAGGTTAACAAATTTAAACTTTTGAGATACAATACGAATGCCAAACTTTTTAAGTTGCTTTTCTTAAAAGTTTAACAAGAGTATAACTTGAGGTTTTTGTCTTAAAAATCATTATCTTGTAAATAATGTAGCTACTTAGTCAATAGGAAAGGATACACACAAAAACGTTTATTGGCAACTTGATGGAAGATAATAGATCATTAGACATCATTTCTTCAATTCTCTTAAATGTTTAGATTAATGAAGAAATTTATAGATTTTTTTTTTTTTTTTTTTTTTTTGTAACTCCCACTATCATTATATTCACGATGATAACAATAATTCAAATTGAATATATAAATTTTTGTATAGGTGTGTAACCCTTATTATATTATTATTAAATATAATAATAACTACAACTTTTAGGAATCCGATAAGTCATTCGAAGAGTAATCTCCCGAGAAGTCATTCGAAGAGTAACCTCTTGAGAAGTCAACTTCCGAAGAGTGAAACACAAAATAAGTAAAACTAAAAGAAGTAAACCCCAATTGAAGTAAAATCTAAGTGAAGCAAATTCAAGAGAAGTAAATCCAACCTCTCTAAACGACTTCTTTTAACTTCTCTAAAAACTTCTCTGGAATGTTCTTATCAATCAAAACATGCTTCCTATGAAACATAAATAATATTTTAAACTCTACAACACCAAAATATATATTATTTATGCTTTCGGTAGACATGACTAAATACGTATAGTCAACTATTTACTATATAAATGTCCAACAATATTTATATGTACTAATATTTAATTTGGACTTTTGGGTTTTTTTTTTTTCAAGTTATTATGTATCGGTATTTAGTATTTTGGGTAAAGACTTAAGATTTGATCAATTTGAATCTTTAAGTATTATTTAATGTTTTAAATATTTTGTACTAATTGTATTTTGAGATGATGGGATGTTAGACTAATTTGAATCAGGCGGGGGTGAATTCGAGGGCGGGCACAGAGACCTCATTCCATGCTCCGCCCCGCCCCGTTGTCATCTCTACATTCGCTCACCTATCTATTATGAATTTCTGTTATGAATTTCATATAATTTTAAGTTTCAATCACATAAAACTTATGGTGAAACTTGGATCAAGATTAAAACAATTCGAAACTTAATTTTCATGTTCACTCAATTCTATACAAATTTCTAGTCACTAATATATTTCAAATGTTATATAATCTAATTATCTCATGATCGCCTCTCTAACCGCTATTCTTTACACACATATTTTTTGATATTGTGGTTAGAGATTCATTGGTATTTTAAAACTTTTAAATATTTTTAAATTATATAAAAATATTATCTGTTTAATAAATTTTTTAAGAGTTATATTTTAAAAATGTTTAAAATTTTAAAAAATGAAAATTTGTAATGAAATTTATTGAAGGATACAGTTTTAATACAACAAAAATATTAACCTTTAAGAATTTTCCTTCTCGATATTAGCAGTCCAAATCATGCTTGTATTTTTATTTTTATTTTTGGAAAAAAATCTTGCTCGTATTAACTCTCAAGATTTGCACAATATTTTACCATAAAAAATAAAACATTCCATATAGGGATAAATAGAGAAATATTCACGTGACAGCGCCTATTATAAAATCCCGAAGTCACACCCCATATTTCTCATCAAGTAGTTCAAACTACCAAAAGATGGCAATGAATTCTCGCTTTGTCTCCTTAATGCTCTTCTCCTTGGTGGTGGCCACCGCCGCACATGGTGCCCGGAGAGAACTATTGCCCGGCGGCTGGAGCCCCATTAAGGACTTGAAGGATCCTGTGGTGGTGGAGATCGCAAACTTCGCCATAAACACCCACAACAAAGAGGCTAAAAGCAACCTGATATTTAAGAGCGTGATCGGAGGAGAGTCTCAAATCGTCGAAGGCTTGAATTACAAGCTTGATATTGAGGTGGAGGAAGGCAATTGTTTGAATAAGTACGAGGCTCTGGTTTGGGATAAACCTTCGGAGAAATTCAGACAGCTCACCTCCTTCAAAAAATTATGAGTGTGCTTTAATTCTTGTATGTTTATTAACGAAATATAAACCTAAATTTTTGAACCTACAGCTGTTACTAAACATGTGTTTCTTCAAACATCTCTTGAAATGGCTAAAGCATGAGTACATTTAACATTAAAAAAATTTTATAATCATAATTTAGAGACCTAATAAGTTAAAAGACCAGTATCTAATTAACTTTGACTATCAAGATTTAATTATATATACCCAATTTTGTATTATTGTCTATGTTTCACTACTTAAGAACCAATGCTCTTGAGCATGGTGAAAATTAGGAAATTTTTTTAACTAAGTTGATTCTAGTTATTATATTATTATTTTCTAATATATTAATATTTGTTAGGAAAAAAAATAATCTAGTCTCGTAGAAAGAAACTACTCAAAGCTTGATTACAATCTTCCGGCATGTGCAGACACACATACTATCCTAAAAGTTTTTAATTTTTCTTAGCAAACAACAAGGTAACAAATTAAACTTTTGAGATACAATAAGAATGCCAAACTTTTTAAGTTGCTTTTCTTAAAAGTTACCAAGTGTGTAACTTGAGATTTTTGTCTTAAAAATCATTATCTCGTAAGTACTGTAACTACTTAGTCAATAGCAAATGATACACACAAAACCGTTTATTGGCTACTTGATGGAAGATAATATTTATACTCATCATTAGACATCATTTCTTCAATTCTCTTAAACGTAAGATTAATTAAGAAATTAATTGAATTTTTTCTGTAACTCCCACTATCATTATATTCACAATGATAACAATAATTCAAATTTAATATTTAAATTATTGTGTAACTCTCTTTATATTATTATTATTATTATTATTATTATTATTATTATTATTATTATTATTATTATTATTATTAAATATAATAACTACAACTTCTAGGAATCCGATAAGTCATTCAAAGAGTAACATCCTGAGAAGTCATCCGCAGTGTAACCTCCCGAGAACTCAACTTCCCAAGAGTGAAACACAAAATAAGTAAAACTAAAAGAAGTAAAATCTACGAGAAGTACTTCTCTAGTGAAGTACTTTTCTTGTAGTGAGTAAATTCAAGAGAAGTAAACCCAACTTCTCTAAAAAAACTTCTTTTAACTTCTCTAAAATCTTCTCTAAAACAATCAAAGCATAAGCTTCCTACAAAACATAAATAATATTTTCAACTCTACAACACAAAAATATTATTTATGCTTTCGATAGACATGTCTAAATACACATATTCAACTATTTACTTTACAAATGTCCAACAATATTTATATGTACTAATATTTAATTTGAACTTTTGTTTTTTTTTTTTTTTTTTTTAAAAACTTTGGGAAAAATTCAGACAACTCACCTCCTTCAAAAAATTATGAGTGTGCTTTAGTTCTTGTATGTTTATTATAGAAATATAGATCTAATTTTTTGGACTCTATTGAACATGTGTTTCTTTAAGCATCTCTTTGAAATGGCCAAAACATTAGTACATCTAACATTAAGGAAAATGTCTAATCATAATTTAGAGATCCAATAAGTTGAAAGACCCGTATCTAACTAATTTTGACGGTCAAGATTTAATTATATATACACAATTTTGTATTATTGTCTATATTTTACCACTTAAAGAACCAATGCTCTTGAGCATGATGAAAATTAATATTTTTTTTAACTAAGTTGATTATAGTTCTTTTTATAATTTTTTGTCCTTTTTTACTCAAAATATAATACATTTATATAGTTCTATTTAAGACTAAGGTCCACAGTGTTGCACTGTGAACCTTGGTCCAAGGTATAATGATTAAAATCTATATTGAGATCACTTTGTACCAAGTTGATCCAATAGTTATGCTATGCATGGTGCACACGGTTGCAAAACGACGTCGTTTTGACTAAAAACGCGCGTCTCATTTTTAAAAAAAAAATCAGTTTCGTTTCCCCTCAACAGCATTATGTTGTTCATTTATTGTGAATTTTTAGTTCATTCATTGTGGATATTTAGTTCAATCATTGTGGATATTTAGTTCATTCATTCTGGATTTTGTGTTATTCATTCATTGTGGATATATAGTTATGAATTTGTGGATATATAATTCAAATTACGCACAAAAAAATTGCTTTTGCCGAAAATCAAACCTGATTTTTTTTTTTTTTAAGTGGGACGCACATTTTAGTCAAAACAATGTCGTTTCTACAACCGTGTGCACCACGGTTGCACAACATAATTTGCAAAGTTGATCCTCGTTCGACTATTATAATAAAGCCCATAATCGGCCTGGGCCTTTGGCCCTAATTGGCTTGAGCCCAGGACCGAACTAGGGCGATGCAAAGACCAATACCATTTAAGAAGGCAAATTATGCTATGGACCCGTGTCTATCATGTATATTCATAATTTCTATATTGTATATTCATAATTTCTATATTGTATATTCATAATTTTTATATTGTACATTCATAATTTCTAAACTGTAAATTCATAAAATTTATAATGTAGATTCTTAATTTTTATACTGCACATTCATAATTTTTGTACTGTAGATTCATAATTTTTGTAATGTAGATTCATAATTTTTAAACTGTATAGTTATCAAATTATGAACACATAGTTATCAAATTATGAATCTACAATACAGAAATTATGAATGTGCAGTATAGAAATTATGAATGTACAGTATAAAAATTATGAATCTACATTATAAATTTTATGAATCTACAGTATAAAAATTATGAATCTACAGTTTGAAAATTATGAATCTACAGTACTGAAATTATGAATGTACAGTATAAAAATTATGAATCTACAGTACAGAAATTATGAATGTGCAGTATAGAAATTATAAATCTGCATTATAAATTTTATAAATCTAAAGTATAGAAATTATGAATGTACAACTTATCTACCATGCACATAGTGGACACGGATCCAGAACATAACGCTCCCATTTAAGAACTAACGCTTTTAAGTATCATGAAAATTATAACCAAGTTGATCTCTTGATTCTAATTCTTTTTATAATCCTTTGTCATAATATATTTTTACTCAAAATATAATATATTTAAATAATAATTGCGGAGTCCACCGTAAATTATAAAATGGTGAACTTTCCGATGAGTCTACATTGACTTAGGGGCGACCGCAGTTTCGGTTCTGATTCGGTTCCGATTAAGAATCGTCGATTCTGATTCCGCAAATCGCCAAACCAACAATTCCGATACGAATCGCCGGTTCTAACCGAATTTATTAAAAAAAAAAAACTATAATTTTTAATTTTTTCCAATTTGAAACCGAAACCACCAGTTTCAGTTCCTTTTTATCTCAAACCTTAACCGAAACCACGGTTCGAATCCGATTCCAATTCAACAATACACGGTTCGAACCATCCAGTTTAAATCAAACCGTGATCACCCCTACCTTGACTGACAAAATGACATTTGTATATGAAATTTGCATAAATTTTGCGGCAAACACGGCTGGACTAGAATTCGAGTCACGTGACATGACGGGAGGAGGATTCACGTGACAGAGTCCAGTTTTCCGCGTTGAAGGAACAAAACGGGTATAAAATTCTGCAACCGAACCCCACAATTGTCGTGAATTAGTCCAAACAACCAAAACATGGTCCTCAATCTACGCTTCGTCTCCTTCACGCTCTTATCTTTGGCGGTGGCCACCGCCGCACTCGGCGGCCGGGAATATCCACCTGTCGGCGGCTGGAGCCCCATTTCGGACCCTAAAGCCCCCCAGGTGGTGGAGATCGCGAAGTTCGCCATAGACCACCACAACAAAGAGGCTAACGCCAATCTGCAATTCGAAAGCGTGATCGAGGGGCAGAGTCAAGTCGTCGCCGGCATGAATTACAAGCTTGTGATCGCCGCGAAGGACGGCGGCGCCGGGAATAAGTACGAGGCTGTCGTTTGGGATAAACCTTGGGAGAAATTCAGACAGCTCACCTCCTTCAAACAGTTATGAGTGCGCTTCGATTCAATTCGCAGGTGTGAATGTGAACATGTTCCCTGTCTGAAATGTGATCTTTTGTCCGATGTTGTTTCCTGATCTGGTTATGAAGGGCAATAAATATTGTAATTTTATTTAAAAAAATATAAATCTAAATTTCAGTTCCTTTTGTTGCCTTTAAACGTTTTACCATATTTGATCTACAATCTAGAAGCGGAAATAAATAACTCACTCCGATCGCCGGAAAATTGCTTTGGCCGGAATCTAATAACGAGAATTCGGTTACCGGCGACTGTAAGGTGTTAATCAAAAGATAAATGGTCCTAAGGTGTAAAAGGATAAAATAATACTGGGCTTTAGTTGTCGGCCCATATTGGGTTGGGCTTAGCCCAGAAAATATAAACGAAATGCCTTTTTAGAATGGGCCTAGATTGATTGAAGTCCATTTTAGAATGGATTATAGAGCCGCCGAATCAGCCGAGGAAAATGAAAGATTGATGTAAAAGGGATGAGGATGGACCGATGGAAGTGCCTTGATTGAATCGCCAAGTCAGCAGTTGAGATATATATATATATATATATATATATATATATATATATATATATATATATATATATATATATATATATATATATATATATTTATTTATTTATTTATGATAATGATTGAAATTGGTCTCAATAAATTATTGTGTATAATAATAACTAATATATGATGGACAAACCATCTTGGTAGGTGTGAGTTGCCATGCACTCTTATTTCTTAAGAGCAATCGGGAGTTTGAATTGGCAATTTATATCGTGCGCCACGGCGCACATAACAATGTACTCCCAGGCACAAAACGTGCGCGTTTCATGCCGACGTCATGCTGATGTCACTCCGTCCATTCGAACATACCAAACCTCATTATGTGTATTCAGTTAAAATTTTATGTGTATTGTGTTATGAGTTTATGTGTATTCACTTAAGAGTTTATGTGTATTATGTTAACCAAACCCATTATGTGTAGTCAGTTAAAAGTTTATGTGTATTATGTATTATGTTAGATTATGTGTATTCTGTTATGAGTTTATGTGCATTCAGAATAAGGGATTTTTCTTTTACAACTTAACAAAACGACGTCTTTTTGAGAGACGCGAGGCGCACAGTGCTATATGCGCCCTGGTGCACGGTATAACGATTGGTTTGAACCTCTATTATGAAAAAATTAATCTGGCCAGCATTTTGTCACTTAATTGAGTCGATTTAGTGCAGACAGAAATTAATAGTACGAGAATTATACTCTATCAACTCGATCAATTTTTCTGGAGTTGTATTGAATATTATTGACACAAATGTTTATATTATTTGGTATAACAAAGAAATTATATGATTATACCCAACACTTATAGTATTGGTACCAATTTACACCATAAAAAATCTTGTGAATTTGAAATCATAAAGTGAATGAGTACGAAAGAAAATCATGTGAATTTACAATCAAAAAGTTGAGGAGTATGATGTAATATGTAATTAAGTATTAGTCATTATGTAATTTATTTTTATTTTTTGTAACGTAATAATATTATATACTTTTTGACAAAATTTTCCAACACTTTCAACTCCATGTTCGGTCATGTAGGTGTAACGGACCCATTTGTTTGCCATAGGACACTATCTCTAAACCAAACTACCGTTGTTTGTCCAATATGTAACACTTGGAGAAAGGAATAATTGAAGATTTTATTCTCCTATAAAAATTCAACAACATAAAAAAAAAAAAATAATATTATATAAGATTTGATTATTGTAAAGGGTTGAGATTCAATTCCTGCTACAAATATGACAATTTGGGTATAAATTGAACTTTATATGTGTAGAAAGTGTACAATTTAGTATTGAGTTTTAAACAACTAGATTACCTTAATTTATCTGATTCTGTGTTAGAGACGAGTTCGTGTGGTTGAAGATATAGTCTCGCGTTGGGATTTTAGATTTGAGTTGAATTTTTTGTGTGCAAAAGTGTAAATTTTGATGTTGATTTCTGAAAATAAATTAATTTAATTTATTTTATTATGAGTTTGAGACGAGTTTTTGAGATTCAGAAAATAGTCTAGCATTTGTCTACGGGAAACCTTAGGTTATATAAAAAAAATCATACTTCAAAAAAAAAAAATTAAAAAAAATCATAAGTTAACCCAATCGGTTAGACTATTGACTCGATAATAACATAGGAAAAATACAAAAACTCCTCATCAATCAATCATCAATGTCCAACCTGAGTCCTGAGCTTTAAACTGGAAACTTTAACTGCCCACCGGTTCGCCTCAACATTTAACAGCCTCAGAAACTGAACCTAACAACCTCTGCATTATCACTATCACCATTACTGTTTGGTTATCTGTCCAGAGAAATCAAACACCCCACCGCACAGTACTGGAGCTTTCCAGAAAACCACGACTCTCAGCATTCCGGCTATCCAAGCTGCTTTACAAAGGCGGAGCCGCCGTTGCCGCGGTAGAAAACCTTTGCCTGCGGCGGAGGAGACGCCGGCGGGGAAAAAATGAAGGGACTGTTCAAGTCCAAGCCGAAGACTCCTGTTGACATTGTTCGCCAGACTCGCGATCTTCTCTCCTATGCCGAAAGTGGCCCCTCTTCCGACTCTCGTGATAGCAAGAGAGAAGAAAAGGTCATATTTCTATTCTATATATATATTTTTTAAATGTTTAGATGTAATTCATGTATTATAAAATGGAGCATTCATTATCTCTGCTAAAATCAAATTTAATTCCCAATTAAGAAGAAATTAATGTTAATATACTTTGGTTGGCTTTGCAGATGATGGAGTTGAGCAAACATATCCGGGAATTGAAGTCAATTCTGTATGGGAATAGCGAAGCTGAGCCTGTTGCTGAGGCCTGTGCACAGCTGACTCAAGAGTTCTTTAGGGACAACACATTGCGACTGCTAATCAATTGTCTTCCCAAATTCAATCTAGAGGTAATACTTAATAGTATTCCCAATCACTTTACTGAGTGGAACAAGATGTATATGATGCATAGTTATTCTCAGTTTATCTATCCATGTATGTATGCTTTAATGCCAATCTCTTGAACTAGTTGTGATGCATATGTTTGTTTCGTTAAAGCGCATATACTCAGTTTATGCATCCATGTATGTATACTTCGATACCAATCTCTTGAACAAGTTGTGGTGCATATGTTAGTTTTGTTAATGTGCACACTTTGCAGACTCGTAAAGATGCTACTCAAGTAGTTGCGAATCTGCAAAGGCAGCAAGTTCAGTCGCGGCTGGTTGCTAGTGATTACTTGGAAGCCAATTTGGATCTCATGGATATTTTGATATCAGGGTAAGCTACTTTAGGAAGATGTTTTAGGGAAATCGTGGTCGTCTATGGTGATACTTCTTAACTTCTCTATGCATTTTTGATTTCTGAACATTCGTTATGTTTCTATGATTCTGATTTCTGAACTCTGATCTCTATTCTAGCAGGGTTAAAGGGGTTCTAGAAGCCTCTAGCCCACTTAAATTGAAGCCTCTGTTGTCTATTATTTCTTAGTCATAGCCGCCATGTAACATATAAATATTTCTCTGTATTTATGTGCTGCTTGTTACAAGTCTATGGAGTAAAGTATTTTTGACAAATTTCCACCTCAAATTTGTGATGCAGAAACTTATTATTTGCTGATTTTTCCCTCGTTGTGTTTTTCTTTTGGTAATCTAATGGCAATAAGTGTGACTTTCTTTTTGTGTTCTTCAGTTATGAGAAAGCAGATATTGCATTGCATTATGGTGCTATGCTGAGGGATTGCATTCGCCATCAAAGTGTTGCTCGGTAAGCAACTAATCTGTCATGGTTTATTGTTTTGTACTCTCCCTTTTCCTCTATTTGTTCTGTAATCGGAGAGAGATGCGGACTTTTTAAGAAAACATTTCAAATCTTCTCTCAATTTACAGGTATGTCTTGAATTCGCAACACATGAGGAAGTTTTTTAGCTATATACAGCTACCAAATTTTGACATCGCTGCTGATGCTGCTGCAACTTTTAAGGTTGGTTATGATCTGCCAAGTCCACAAAGGCCTCTATTTATCAATATCATGTCTTCCCCAGCGGTGACCTGATTCAATGGCTAAATTTTGTTACAGGAACTCTTGACAAGACATAAATCAACAGTAGCTGAGTTTCTCTCCAAGAACTATGACTGGGTGAGTGGCTTTTCTCTTTATAATATGCAAGTATTAGCGATTGTGGACCTTATATATGATGCGTCACATCCGAGATCAAAAGGCAGAAGTTCATAATCTGAATGGCCTCTTTGTACTCACTGTTCCTGTAACTAAATTAAATTTCCAACGGGTTTATTAATGTGTGTCCAACTAATACCAGTTTTGTGCTCCCTGCAATGGCTTTGGTTTTAGTTTTTTGCAGAGTATAATTCGCAGCTACTTGAATCTACCAATTACATCACCAGAAGGCAAGCTATAAAGGTGACTTTTATATGGCAGCTCTCATACACCAATTTTTTTATTTTTTTTAGCCTGTTCTTCTAGGCACTTAGAATAGGATGCAGTTTCATATTAACAGTCTCTAAGAGGTTACTTCTTACTTTTGCAGCTATTGGGGGATATCCTTCTGGACCGATCGAATTCTGCTGTCATGACACGTTATGTTAGTTCAAGAGACAACTTGAGAATTCTGATGAATCTTCTCAGGGTGTGTGCTACATTTGTTTTCCACTGTCCCGTATCGTTTATCTACTCTTGTTTGGCACATGCTGACACATCATCTTCCACCAACTCACCAAGAATGTTAGATCCTCATAATTTGCTGATCTTTTATCAATATCTCTGATCTCACATACTCCATATCCTTTTGCAGGAATCAAGCAAGAGCATCCAGATTGAAGCATTTCACGTTTTTAAGGTATCGTCTCTAACTTTAGACATGATGAATGATGTTTGTTTGGTTATTTAATTGGTTGAAAGCTTAGATCACTCTCTAATTGACACCATTTCAACTCCCGAAGCTATTTGCTGCAAATCAGCACAAGCCTCCAGACATCATTAACATCCTGGTCGCAAACAGAAGCAAGCTTTTGCGCCTCTTTGCCGATTTCAAGACTGATAAAGGTACGGAAATGACCATATGAAACACATACAATGCTTTATACAAGAAGGGTTTAGCTGTGTTCGTTCACCTTCTTCATTTTTCTTTAGCAGAGGATGAGCAGTTTGAGGCAGACAAAGCTCAGGTTGTGAGGGAAATTGCTGCACTTGAACCCAAAGAGCTTCCATGAATGGTGTGCTTAGTTTCTTGTACTCCGTATTTAGTTTGTCTACAAATCTTGCATCTGTAATCCTATTTCCTAGTTTGTGGTCCCCACTTGTGAATTTAGTTGTCAATATTTTGGAAAATCTCTTTAAAAGAACTGTCTTGACAGATTTTCTTAGTAAAAATGGTCTGGTTGTCTACCGAAAAATGTTACTGTATTTGTTTCAAACTTTTTTGTAATTATCAAATGTAATTTGTGATACACTTTATTATGTTTTGTGTTCATTGATTATATTAAATCCTTCAAGCCAAGTTGGTTTGTCAGTTGACTCAATAACTACAAGATTTCAAGTTTGACTCTTACAGAAACTGTCTAATGACTTTTTTGATAAAAGGAAAATGTCATTCGAATCAAATTAAGTGCCTTGTTAGAACAAAATTAGTTTTAATGAGAAGTAAAATGGTTGCCCCCAAATTTTAAACCAAGAAACAATGTAATGGGTGTAATAAATTATTTATTTATTTTAATATCAATTAAAACATGTTATGTCAATATGTAATAAAAATAGAGGTAAAAAAATAGAGTTGACGCACCAGCCATCATTCTTGCAGCAGAAAATTTATGATGTTTTGTGCTATTTATTCTGTCTCAACTAAAAGTTGTAGCTAATAGTTGAATTAAACATTTATGTTATGCTCAACAGGGAGCTAATAGATATCTTGATAATGGGTGAATATTGATAGTGATGGATACCACGCTAAAGTACATATTCTTAGGAAAAGGATGAAAATGATGAGACTAATCCAGTTAAAACCTTGAGTGACCACATGAGCACTTTTGTGGGATCTTCTCTACATATTCACTAATTTGCAAGATTTTTTTTTCTCTGAAATAAGGTTTGGTAAGGAATTCAACATTACATCTAGCAGAGTATAGTAGCTGCATCAAACTCTCTACTCAAGGATGCATTTATGGCAGATTGGCAGCATTGCAGCAGAAAGAATGAGATTCTTGATGCGGAACCTGCAGCCACCATAAAAACCTTAAACCCCACAACTATACATTTCATTTTTGCACCATTATAATAGTGAAGCAAATAATGTCAAGAACCAATAATACCTTGCAGATCTGATGATCAACACGGCATAAATAAAGAATGCATATTGGCCCCCCTAGAGTTGCTAGTCTTGACAATTGCATGTACATGGTACTTGAAATATAATTATCAATGTTCAAGTCATGTATGTAGTGCAAGCACCTGTTCTAGCATCACCTTTTCAGGATTCCCATAATGATTTCGTCAATTTTCACTCGACTTTTTAGTAAAGTGCCATCCATTTAACTTGAAAGTTGCACATACTCGCATCTAATTCAGTTGAAGCACACCCCACTTCTCTGTCAATCGCACAGACTAACAGTACATTTACTTACCATAGAACTTTTCTATTTTTTCCATGAAAAAAAAAAAAATTAAAACCAGAAAACTTGTTGTAAAGTGAAACTGAAGAATTGAAGTAAACGCAGTTTAAGGCATTTGGTTTTTTTAGGAGAGAAAGAGTAAGTGTGTTGGAGTGAAATCGAGTAGTCTTTTTGTCTTGGGAATAAAGGTGATTTTACTATTATGTGCATTAACATGAAGGATAGTGGAAACTATTATCAATGTGAAGACCAGAAAGGATAGGATTCAGATGAAAAAAGAAAGGTTATTTTTGATGGAGGGGGCCATGCTACACTTTTACCCAACACTTTGATTAGCAATGAGGCTGGGTGGTAGCTTGGAGGATTTATAAGAGTCTCTTAGGGGAGGAGGGCCTATCCTCAACACCAAAACATGTTTCAGACATGTTCCTTCTTACACAGCCAAATCATTGTGCCAAAGAACAATGGAAATATATAATATAAAATATGTAAAATTAGGACACAATCATCATCACCCTTCATTCAGTTCATAGTTTGCAAGATTGTTTTCTCATTTCCTCATATGGGGATCTTAGTTCCTTCCCTAGCTAGTTCACCCCTTTTCAAAAAGCAGTTTTTTTCAGTTTCATATACTTTATCAAAATACGAAAACATGTAATTGTCAAGATTAAATGTTCACCAATATGCCAAAAGTTAGTTATAACTAGTAGCGACTTGCTCAACGCCAGGCTTTGATGACATGATGCTAGACTTGACTCTTTGAGCTGCCACTCAACAGTAACAATTTTAAGTATAAGATTTTTCGTTTTTAGAATATATACAATCACCCAATGGAAATATCCCGATTTCTGTCTATTCGAAAGTAGACGGAAATTAGGGATTGTGAATAGAAAATGTGTTTCCATTCACTTGAAAGCTTCATAAAATCACGGATTGATGGATGATTTCTGTATATCATCATAAAATTAATTAAAAGAGTGGATGGAAATTTCTGTCCGCCTATCAACTGGATAGAAAGTTCGTCAAGTCGACTGGATATGTTCAAGCGTGTTACAAGAAGTAACTACGTATATCTCCATAGGTTGCACTTTCATTTTCATGGAATAATTACTTATGCTTTGTCATTTTGATTAAGAACATATATATTAAGGTTGATGAAAGGACATGTAACTACTACTTTTGCACTAGCTAGTTCAAGATGAATGAGATATAGAATTATTTCTCATATTATTTTTGTGTTTACCTTATAGGCTAGTGCTCTTTTTGGCTTTATGGATAGAGGCATTTGGCTATATTCCATGAACATGCTTCCCATCATAGTTAGCACAGTTTTGTTTTCTTTCCAAACCCTTCTTTCAAGCAACAAAAAGCTAAGCAAAGAAGACTAGTCTGCCACTACACTAACATGTCCTCAGCTTTAGTCAATCAAATATGAAAGTGGATGGAGATAGATATCCTCATTTACCTCCATCATCAATCGAAGACTTTAATTTGATGTGTTTATATTATAATCAAGATGCATTGAATCTTAGAAATATATGGCATTCTGTCCAAGGTTATCCTGTTGGGACCAACTCAAAATGTCCTTTAAAGAATCTTTAGAAAGTCCCCCCTTCATCTTAGTTTCCTTATCTTTATCCTCAACATACATCACATTTTAATAATACAAGTAATATTAGCGTGTCTATCATTATAATATTTCTGACCTCTTAGCTTGTTTAAACTGGGTCCTGATCAGATTGGACACTTATAAAAAAGATTGATTGAATATATTATAAAATTCGGTTTGATCAATTCGATCTGATTGTACATATATATACCAATTATTATATACTCAATCTCTTGTAAATGCCATCCAATCCCTATTTTAGTTTTAAACAAGAGATCAATTAGAATATACTTAACAAGTTTTAATTGTCTAGCTATATGATGACAACTCTAACCAAATTGGTCAGACAAACAGTTGATTTGGTAGCTACAAGATTCAAGTTCGATTACTTGTAGGGAGCTATCTATTGACATTTTTGGGCTTCACCCAAAGTTCAGGTAGCTACATTCTTAGGCTTCACCTAGAGTTCGAGTAGTTGCGGGAAAATGTTTGAACTTCACACACACACATAATTATAGATTATATTAGCCTGCAGCTAGATAGAGGCATGGGCATATATAAATGCTAAGTACAATAGCCTAATTAAGAAATGTTGAGAAAATATAATTGGCATTATATTATATTATATATTATATATTTCACATAATGATATAATAATAAGTAATTTTTAGACATTCTATATATTCTATATATCATCACTCCCAGCAATCTTTTTAGTACTGATGAATTCATGGTGGAATGGCGGCGAAGCTGAGGAAGACGACCGCTTCCGCGAATACCATCTTGCCCAGAAGAGATAGTTGAGGAAGTTAAGGAAGCTTAAGGTTGCAAGGAACCAGTAGAAGAGATCAAGCCTGTCTTTATTGAGATTATTGTCGGCAAGCCAGCCGCCATTAGAGGAGCCAGAAGTGATCTTATCCACGACAGAGACGAGGACGGAGCTAAGGTAAAAGCCGAAGGAGTAAGAGCAGTAGGTTATGGCGGTTGCGGAAGCTTGCATGCCCTTCAATGGCTGCTTGTAGAAGAACTCGATGAGGCCGACGGCGGTGAACATTTCGGAGACTCCGAAGATGATGTACTGCGGGGTGATCCAGAAGATGGAGAGGATTTCGCGGGAGTTGACGGCGGCGGTTCTCCGTTTTTCCTCCATGACGGCGGCGGAGACCATGGAGAAAGTGGCGAAGAAGAGGCCGAGGCCGATGCGTTGCAGCGGCGTGACGCCGTCTGCCTGGCCGGAGATTGTGCGGGCGAGGGGGACGAAGAAGGCGTCGTAGAGAGGGACGATGAAGATGAGGATGATGTAAGGGATGGCCTGGAGAGACGCCGGCGGGATGTGGAAGGTTTTGGTTAGCTGTGTGTTCATGGCGCTCCCTTGTTGGACTGAGAATGTTTGGAGCTGTGCTAAAATGGTGTTGAAGACAATGGTGCATGCGAAGATTGGGATCACTGAGATCAGTGTCTTCACTTGATCCACTTGTGTCACACTGCAAAGCCGCCATGGACTCTCCTTTGAGTTGCTTGCTCCTTCTTGGCTTTTGATACAAGCCTTGTCCAAAAACCTGCAACCAAAATTTGCTCCAATATTATATTAAGAGAGGTTGGGTGGGAGTTCGAATCCCCTCTTTTATAAAAATATCAATCTGACCAGTATTTTGCCCCTTAATTGAGTCGTCCGGTAAGAATGAGGATTAGTCTGAGTATGATATAGGTTTAAAGTGCCTCTTACAGTTAGATCTGGCCAGGACACCTATGGTCTGGAGATTAGCATCAGTGCCTTTTGCACAAAGTGCATCATTGGTTTTACTAGGTATTATAAGGATAACTTGATCATGCTGCTGGTTACACTATTCCCAGTGGGAGCGGCTTATTGACCTACTTATAAGTTTTATTTGTTAGACTAACTAATTTATTGGTTTGAGCTGGCAGTCAATTATGGGCAATGATTTATCCAATCTCCTTGTGTTCTATTGCCCGAGGCCAGATTTAGTAAACACTTTTTAGATAATGACTGTGAATTTTTCTCATTACTCAAAAAATTAAAATTGATATACAATACTAGAAACAACCCAAAAATCTGGTGAAATAATAGGCCTGGTGTTAATGGGTATAGTAAACTTTTTCATAGTACCATGCATCATGTAACCATACATGATTATAACAGGTACATCAGAAACTATTACCAATAATATTATCCCAAGCAATCATGTATGTATATATGATACTACCGGATGCAAAAGACTAGAGAAATATATTTTCTTTATAT